ACTTGAATCAACTATCAACACTCATGGAAGCAGCAGTCAAGAAATCAAAGGACGTATTGCATTAGGCAAATCTGCTGCACAAGACCTTTTTAAAGTGCTGAAGAGCAAAGATGTCAGCTTGAAGACCAAGGTGCGCCTGACCCAAGCCATGGTATTTTCAATAACCTCATATGTATGCGAAAGCCGGACAGTGAATAAGCAAGACTGTAGAAGAATTGATACCTTTGAGTTATGGTGTTGGAGGAGAATATTGAAAGTGTCATGGGTTGTCAAAAGAACAAATAGATCTGTGTTGGAAGAAGTGCAGCCAGAGTGTTCCTTAGAGGCCAAAATGGCCAAACTTCGTCTCTCATACTTCAGATATATTGTCAGGAGGGACCAGTCAATGGAGAAGGATATCATGTTTGGTAAGGTGAAGGGTCAGAGAAAGAGAGGAGCACCCCCAACGAGATGGAGTGGCCACGTGGCAGCATCGTTGGACTCAAGTGTGGCAACAGTTGTGAGGTTGGCCCAGGACCGGGCAGTGTTTCGTTCTGCTGTGCATAGGATCGCTATGATTCAGTACCAACTTGATGGCACCTAACAACAACAACAACATTGTGAGGTAGAGTGCTCTGTCTGTGTCTATGTTGAGTTTCTTTCTAGTTGTTTCATCTTTCATCAAAATTTATTGTAGGAGCTCTGGTGTGACACTGTAGGATAAGCATTGGAATGCTAACTGTAAGCTTAGTGGTTCAAACCCACCAGCCACTTCTCAGAGACCCTATGTAGGGTTGTTATGAGTTGGAACCAAATCTTTAAATACCCAAATATAATATTAATGTCTTTATGTTGCTACAAACCTTTCTTATGTAAACACAAAATCAAAACCCAAAGTGCATCGATTACGACTCTTGTTATAAAACACAACTGCTCCAGTGAATATTTCCTCAGGTCTTTCTTGCACAGCTCTCCTAGGTAGGTTTGAACCGACAACCTTTCCACTAGTTGTTTGTTAATTTTGTTAAGTGCCATCAGGTCAGTTCCAACACAATGCAATCTTGTATAGGGTTTCCAAGGAGTGGCTGCAGGGGTTTGAACCACTGATCTTGGGGTTCACAGTGCCGTGTTTATCTGACAGCACCACATCAGGGCTCCTATAGACTAGTTGTTATTGTTGTTGAGTGCTGTCGACTCGATTCCGACCCATAGCGACCCTGTATAGGGTTTCCGAGGAGCAGCTGGTGAGATTGAACCGCCGACCTTGTAGTTCAAATGGCTTTGCAGTCTGGTGCATTAACCAATAGCACCACACCAGGACTTTAGTTGTTGTTGTTATGTGTTGTTAAGTCAGTTCCAACCCATAGTGACCCTGTATTGAGTTTTTAAGGAGCAATTGGTGAGTTTGAAACATGGAACTTGTGGTTCAAACTGACCTTGAGATCCAGTGCTTATCATACAGCACCACACCAGGATTCCTTAGATCTAATAAGAGAGACATTTAAAAACAAACAACAAAAAAGGGATCCAAAAAAACAGTTGCCATAACCTCCTGAGCTGGCCTGCCTTGAATTTCACTGGCCCAGCAGAGCCCCTGGAAACCCCCTTAACCAGACTAAGACAATTACTAGTGAAGGTACTTGTATGATTTAAAGAACTTGTTTGCAGCCATCCCCTGACAGCAGAAACATGTTTTGTTTGGAATAAACTGCATGTATGAACCCTAGTAGCAATACTTTTTTTTTACTTATTCTTATATAATTGGGATCTCACTTATGGTAATCTGATTTTTCCCCACACACAGTGTATCTTGAAAGTTGTTGTTGTTGTTGTTGTTGTTAAGTGCCTTCGAGTTGGTTCTGACCCATAGCGATGCTGAACAGGGTTTCCGAAGCTGTAAATCTTTACAGGAGCAGAAAGCCTCATCTTTCTCCCGCAGAACAGCTGGTAGTTTCGAACTGCTGACCTTGAGGTTCACAACCCGATTCGTAACCACTATGCTACCAGAGCTCCTTGTGTCTTGAAAGTACTTACATATAAATAAGAAGTTGCATCAATATTTTAATGGTTCTGTAGGATCCTACTGTACAGATGTGCCATAGTATGTACACTTTCCAATTGTTGATTGCTTAGGATACTTGCATATTCCTTCTTCTGAATTAGATTTATGGACTACCTAGTAGGAATCACAGAATTCCTACTTATAGCAACACTATTGATTTGAAACTGACTTGATGGGACTTAAGAATACAACATGGTAGAACTGCCTCATAGGGTATCTAGGGCTACAGTCTATACAGAAGCAGATTGCCACATCTCTCTTCTACAGAGTCACTGGTGTGTTTGAATGGCTGACTTGTCAGTTAGCAGCTGAGTGCTTAACCACTGCACCACCAGGGTTCCTCTCACTTCGGTACTGGTGTCGTCAAGTGCTGACAGGTCAGTTCTGACTCATAGTGACCCTGGAGCAGCTGGTGAGCTTGAACCGCCGATTTTATGGTTCGAACCAACTCTGCAGTCCAGCACATTAACATGTAGCACTACACCAGGACTCCCACTTAAGTATTTGTTCTGGTTGTTGTTAAGTGCCGTCGAGTCAGTTACGACCCATAGCGACTCTATGTAGGGTTTCCAAGTAGCGGCTGGTGAGCTTGAACTGCTGACCTTGTGATTCAAATCAACTTTGCAGTCTAGTGCATTAACCCACAGCACCATACCAGGACTCCCACTTAAAGTACAGATCTGATTTAAATCATACTGCATAATTTAGCACCTGTTCAGTGTTAGAAACAGTGATATCTGCAGTTGAGTATAAATTTTATTTAGCAGACAACATGATTCTTCTAAAACAAATATTAGCAATATACAGAAAGTTTTCACTCCAAGTCTGCAGCTCCATCAGGGTGTTACCGTGCGATTGCCTCCATCACGCAATCATGGCAGACCCAAGGCTGCAGGGAAATCTCAGGTGAAAACATCCACTCTACATTTATTTCCCAATCTAACGCTCCAGTGACTGTTTGCATCCTAAGGAGGATCTGTGAAGTATGTGCCAGGTGCCAGACTTCAGTCATCATGGGTTTTGACTGGACAGCTTTGGACTGAGGAGGTGATAGGGCAGCAATGTGTCGATCACAGGCTTGTCCACAAACTCCACTGTGCACAGTTCAAGGTCTGCACTGCTGCAGGGTGCATGCTCCAGCTCCAGCACTGTGACGTTGTTTGGGGATGAGGTCACCAGGATGTGTCGCGGCACAAACAAGGTCATCTGGGGGCCCCGTGCAGGCCAATAGCGGCCGAGGTTAAAGCCATTAATCCATACTTGGCCCTGGAGAGAGAAGAGAGATAATTAGATAACCTGACCCATGGTAGTGCTGGTCTCAGTGTCTTGTGAGAGAACTTGCCATGTCAGAGCAGGAGGATTAACACAAAGTTGTCCCAAATATCCACTCCTGATTCAGAAAAATACATGTTTTGTCTCTGACTAGTTTCAGCAGTTACAGATGTGAATATTGCCAGTTTCTGAATTTCTCCTGGCTCCATGCTGTAAGTGTTCCCATGGCCACTATCAGAGCAGGGGTGTGAACTCCACACCTGCTTTTGGGAGCAGATGTGAGTGTGCCAGCTGCAGTGACCATTTCCATGAGCAGGCAAAGGGCCTTCCCACAATAAAACTGAAAGGGGGGACACTCCTAAAGAGGAGGGGTTGTGCTTGGAACATCTGCATGGCCTCTATACATGGATTTGCTTATAGGACAGGACTCAACAGCTGGTGAATAGAAGAGATGAAGGGAGGCCACACACACACCTGAGAGAGAAAGCAGAGGGAGAGAGGGTGAGAGAGAAAGAGAAAACGTGGGAAAGGAAGAAACTGCTGCCCACAGTGGTCTGAACAGACTGGGAACACCCCAGAGGAGACCCCATCCCAGGAGCCCTGATCTTCATAGTAAGGTAGCTGCTGAACCCTGATAACTCAGCTATGCAGCTATTGAGCCTGATCCCCATCATAACGCAGCTACTGAGCCCTGATCCCCATCATAATGCAGCTGCAGTTGCTCATCTTACAGCTGCTTGGTAGGTCACCTTTGGGAAACTTTTCAGGTGTCCCCTTTACTCCAGCTCCTTCTAGTTTCCAACCTGAGTTCAATCCTAGTCTGGTCACTTCTAGAGGTCTGATCTTGAGCAGGCTCCTTCACCTGTCCCAGATGCTGTTTTTCATATGGGTGGTTGGGGACAGTGACAGCAGTAGAAAGCCATGCACATTGAAAGCTCAGTACAGTGCCTGGCCCTGGGTGATGTGAGTGTAGAGCTCCCTACTCTGTGTACCATGAAGACAGCTTGGTGTTCACATGCCTCCACAGGAGGCCAGTGATTAGAAACTGCCTGTCTGTGGGATTAAGTCATTTAGAAAAAGGATGACAGTTTCACACTTCTCAGAATGATCTTACTCTTGTTTTTTCCATGGGATATGCCACTGCGATTCATCCTACAGGCTTATACAATGACAGCTTCATCAGGTTTTTATCACTTTGCGATCTGCAGTGCCTTGTTTTGACAGTATTAGAGGCCTTTACTTCTGTGGTCAAGGAGGGAAATGGGCTTCAAAAACAGACCAGTGGAGGACTTGGTCAGCAGCACATGAGGAAGGGCATGCAAGGTCCGACTTCATGTTATGTTCACAGCAAAGGCCAAGCCAACACCTGACCAAATAGTGGGGTGAACAAAGCTTAGGTCTGGTTCCTTTCACACCTAAATTTCTATTCTACAATTACCCACAACATGGTCCCATGTGCTAAATTGAGCATATCAGCTTGGTACATTGGGAAGTGCTGCCCTGTTCCCTTTTGTTATAAGGTTCTGAATTAGAGTTGGTCCAACAAAGACCTTTCTGGAGATTGGGAAGATAGAAGGGAAGCAGCAGTTGTTGCTCTTGGTCCCTGAGGTTGGACACAGGGATTGATAGACCTGGGTGTCCTGGTAGGTTGTTCTGTCTCATCCTCGATGTCCTGCACTCTGTATCCAGCTCATTTTCCTAACTGCTGGCCCAGCTGACCAGCAATCCAGTGACTATAGCCCCCAAAGACCTCTCTGTGAGCTTCCCAAAGCATAACTTTAACAGCTGAACCTGCTTCTTGGAATCCTCTGCAAGGACCCACTTGTTCACTCAGCCCAGAACTCAAAAGGCTGGTTGGTGATTCTTCTCCTGATGCTGCCTCCCTCTTCTGATGTTCCCAGCCCCAGTTCCTCCCATACTGTGTTTCATTCCTAACAGGGAATATTGCTCATGACTCTGCTTCCCAGACTGAACTGTGACCACTAGATACTGTGTAAGCTGTAGAGCCTTGCCTGGGTCCTTCTTCTTTTTATGCAAACTTTGTGTCTTCCTTCCATCTCAGTTAGTTGCTGAGCTAGCAGTTACACACCTGCCTTTCTCAAGAATGTCTAAGAGACACAGAGAGGGTGGATTGCCCAGCTTTACCACAGTTTAGGCACAAAGCCTAACACTCACCCACTGCTGCTGCTAAGAGCCATCGAGTCAGTTTTGACTCACAGTGACCCAGCATAGGATTTCTGAGGAGTGACTGTTGGGTTTGAATTGCAGACCCTGCGGCTAGCAGTCCAGTGCTGCACACCAGGACTCCTGGAGGCTATCAATCAATACAAACACTTTGAAACACTCTTTGGCATTAGCTACGCTGTAGGAGGAGTCCTGGTGTGGTGCTGTGGGTTAATGCACCAGACTGCAAAGTCATTTGAACTGCAAAGTCGGTGGCTCAAGCTCACCAGCTGCTCCTTGGAAACCCTACACAGGGTCGCCATGGGTCAGAAACGACTCGACGACACTTAACAACAACAACACTTTAGGATATGCACTGGGCCACAAGGTCGGTTTGAACTGGAAGGTGGATGGTTCAAACTCACCAGCCACTCCTTGGAAACACCACAGAGTTGCTATGAGTCAGAACTGACTCCACAGCACTTACTAACAACTAAAGCCAGGCAATTGCATACTCCACAAAGCAGTCCAATTCCTAGAATGTGCAAGAAAGATGTACTCATGTGCCACTAATCACATGTACATGAGTTTCACAAGGGAGCACTGTGTCTCAAAGGCAAAAGCTAGAAACAACCCATATGACCATTTCCAGTAAAAAGTATTAATAAATGTTGGCATATTCATACAACAGAGCATCATTCAGCAATTAATATCAACAAAGGACTGTGCTATGTAATGAGCTAAACATAAAGGCTACATGAAGTGTGTTTATAGTCAAAATGAATCTATGGCAAGTGAAGTCAGAGTAGTAGGTGACATCGCTGGAGAAGAAGGGGATGTGACTGCAAAGGAGCCCAAGGTTTCTGGGTATAGATGTTATCTCTTGATCTGAATGGTGGTTTATATACAAATGTTAATTTGAAAAAATTTTATCATATGAAGCCATGGCACTTTGCACGCTTTTCTGTATACATGTTATAGTTAAGTAAAAGTCTGCCATCAAAAAGATAGAATTAGAATCTAATTAAATATAAAACAAACAATTGTTAGGTGCCACTGAGTCGGTTCCAACTTACAGCAAACCTGTATAGGGTTTCTAAGGAACAGCTAAAGAGTTTGAACCTTTGTGGTTGAAACCAACCTTGAGGTGTTGAGTGCTTATCCTACAGTGTCACGTCAGGACTCCAAACATATAAAGAGAAATAATAAAGCCTAAAGTTTATTCTTGAAAAAAAAAAATTTTTTTTTTTTTTTTTTTTTGGCAAACCCCAAGCAAGACTGATTAAGGGGGAAAAGTGAGCAAAAGAGATGGAAACAGGAACTACACAGCACTAAATAACTACTGTATTTAATGCAAACCGTACGTGGCGTCATACATTTTTAGTCAATCACAGACCACCCCCCACCCCAAATCGTACTTTTAAAAGTGCATTATATGGAGGGGATTGTAACCATGGCGATGAAATGATATATGATAGGATGAATGTAAAGCTAATGTTCTCCCATATAAATTATCACATAATTCACAACAAAACATTTTTTAACAAGTGCATTATGCCATACTTTATATGACGTGGGTATGTTATTTACATGGGTGTTTAAAAACACATTTACAGTAATTGTTAGCTGTTAGTAGTTGCTGTCAAGTTGGCCCTTGGCTGAGGACAATCTCATGTACAACTGACTGAAATGCTGCCTTACACCATTTGTTGCTGATGGGACTGTTGTGATTCAGAACGTTTTCACTGGCTGATGTTCAGAATTAGATTGTCACGCCTTTCTTCCTAGTTTATATTAGTCTGGAATTTCTGCTACAATCTGTTTAGCAAGTAAACTTACAAATTGTTCCTACTGCTGATCAAAGTTGATTCTTTTTCTTCTAATTATTTCCGTAATTCTACACACTGTCTGTTATGTTCTAGATATTCTTTCCTCCCTAAAAGTATCTCTTGTATCCCATTGTGAGCCTTCAGCTTCTACGTGAACATTGTGCCTCCTCACTCACATGACTCTCCGATAGGTTAGGTATCATGCTATGCCCATGCCCTATAATGTTCCCCCGATCTTATCCTTAACCCAGCATTTAGATATTCTTTGGCCTCAGCTAAGGAGCTCTGGTAGCGTAGTGGTTATGAATTGGGCTGCTAACCTCCAGGTGAGCAGTTCGAAACTACCAGCTGTTCCGCGGGAGACAGATGAGGCTTTCTGTTCCCGTAAAGATTTACAATCTCGGAAACCCTGTACAGGGTCACTATGAGTCAGAACCGACTCCATGGCACATAACAACAACAACAACAGTGGTTAAAAGTTAGGCTCCTAACTTCAAGGTTAGCAATTTGAAATTACCAGCCAATCCATCAGAGAAAGATGAGTTTTCTGCTCCTGTAAAGATTTGCAGCCTCAGAAACCCTGTGCAGGGTCACTATGAGTCGGGACCGACTCCACAGTACTTAACAATTCTCCAAAGCTTCCTACTATAAACATGTTCAGTATAAAATTTCCCACCATCCTGTTTGTTGTTGTTTTTTTTAAGTATCTGCTGTGCCCCAAGTTTCTTTAAGAACAAAGCGAGATAAGTTATTTGGGGATTAAAATGAAGATTATCAATGAACTTCCCCTTTCCTCCAACCAGTTAACCCCAACTCTCCTGCCCCATCCTTTGTGTTTCCAATTCCTTCCTATAGGGAATGAAGAACTTAACCCCAAAAGCCCTGGTATCAACCCCACAGTTCTGTTTCCCCAGCTTCTCCTGTCTCCTCTGCCACCTAAACCTGGGAAGGGTAGGCACCTTAGCTTGAATTCATGGGAGAACTCAGAGGGGTGATCTGGGC